TCACGTTAGTCTGTTCAGTATACAAACAAAATAATAAAAAACTGGTCTTCCACAGAGCCCTGGTTATAAAAACTGGACATGAAAAATACATAATTTATCATACCTTGGATTTACAAGTTATTGTAATTTACAATTAGAACTGTACAAAATATCAGATTAGAACATGCATGGTTTAGATAATGATTAAAAAAATCAACTATTAAAACAAGTTAAACAACAACATGGGAAAACATTAACTGAATATAATAAGTATATCAAAATACATTGTAAGCATGGTATAGTAATTGAGTCAAGTAACATGACAAAAAATGAATCGTAATAAACAGTGAGAAAGAAATTGTGATAAACATGTAAGAACTAAATCTAGTGGGATGAAAAGTGCAATAAATCTACCAGAGGTGGACAAACCTTGCATTGTATTGTCATATCAGTCATTTTATACATTAACAGCAGAATGAACAACGTATCATGTGAGAAATTCTTTTAGAGCTCTCTTAAAGACTGCGAGGCTCTCAGTGCTTCTTTAACTTCGAGAGGAAGCTCATTCCAAATTTCACTGCCTAAATAAATAAATAAATGACTTCCTGTAAAATTCTGTTTTACATTTAGGTAATCGAAACATTATCTGATCTGTGTTGCGAGTTATTCGTTTTGAAATATCGTAGACGAATATAAATCTTCATGTACTATTCCGGGTGTTATTCTTTTAATGCACGTATACACTGCACATTGTTTTCCAGAACAACTGATACAGAGTTGGCCAGCATAGTGATTGGAATACATTCAGGGGTGGTATATTCCATGACTTATTTGGGATAAGTAAATATGAATCATGTTGTGGAGAGATTTGCGGTATTCGGATATCAAGTTCACTAACGTGATTAACCCTGTGAAAACCACTCATACCGTAAAACCGACACACAAAAGTCCCACATTGACTTAAAAAAAAGACCAATTTAGGCCATTATTTCGGAAAAATGATTTGTTTTTGTTCTGTCTGTTGTCATAATGTTGTCGGTCTAGCTTAATAGTGTGACTGAGATTAAATCCAGGCATGAAAAGTAGGCGCGTAAATAAAACAAAACAAACCCCGCCCTAGATACTTCCATATGACTGTACTTCAAATTTGCAAAATGTTTCCTAATGATTAATTGACTATAATGTTATTATAAAGTTCAAAATGTCAAGCAACGGGTGCCAATAATATTGAATGGTCGGTTCCGCCCATGTGGGCTGCCATCTGGATGCATACATGTCGACCGCGTCTATACGCTGCTTTGTGCTAGACAGACAACCGTTTCCTTGCAGGTGGTATTTAGTGTCCTACATGATCAGGAAGAGATTCCCGTAGATAAAACCACAGATGAAACGTACAGCAAAGTCGGATCCAGGGCCCGAAACAGCGCCCCTCCCCCAAGAAAAGGGTGACAACTCACCTCAATTCAGGACATTGAGAGGGCATGTCCAGATTCCTGGGCGAAAGAATATTTAGTTGCCCCTGCCTCCTCTCTAGTTAATGAGACCAATGTGATTTTTAAAGGTATTAAAAAGTTTTGGGCAATTTTGAAAAATGGGTGGAAAGTGATTCTTTACAATTTTGATATATTTGGATGCCCCTGTGGATGTATTAAAAGCACTCAGAAATTTAAGCCCCTAAAACACTTCTGCTTTCGAGAAAAATTGAATATAAAGATTTACCGGTGCTCCCGGTAAATTTTGATAAATTTCAAATAGCTCCTACGGCCGTACAATGGTAGCTGCGACCATGAAAATCTCAGATTATGTAGTTGTGGTATATAATTTCCGAACGGGATTAGCTAATCGGTCGATTTTAGTCAAGAAACATTGTTTTTCGACTTCGACAACGATCAGTGAATATTGTAGGATCGCATTTGCTTCCAATATGTTCATTTGAACCAAATTCACGACCCCATACCAAAACTTTGTATTACCTTTAAAAGAAAAATTATCATTTGGGGAAATTATTGTCGGGAAGATTCTTCTCCCTTCCACCTTCCCCACCCCATAAAGACATTCTTGAGCCTCTGTATAATATTTGGTGAAAGACAGATAACATTTTTGGCAAGAGGGCACATTCTCTCTGAAAATCTGCGCAATTTTCTTTCGTTATTCAATTTACGTCTGGACTCGGAGTCGGACTAGACAGATGGAGAGACACACCTGATGACCCACAAAAGAACTCAATCATCGCAGGCAGTGGATACTTTTTCTCTCACACCGCATCCCTCGCTGCATACCTCAGGCACACTACAGACAGACAAACCGCAATACGTACTCTTCATCGCATAGTCCCTAGGAGAGGACTAAGGCCGTATGTCCCCTGGCTGTTTACTTACCAGCATACGAAAGTTCTCTCAACAGTCATAAACAAAAGGAAACAACATGGATTTCATACATTAGCTACCGATTTGTGCTCTATCTTGCATCGGTTCGGCGGTGTAACTGAGGCATCACCATGACTACATCTGTCAACAATATTTTGTTAAAGTCATCAATTAGAAATAGTTTTTTTAAGCGCCTCTTCCTTTCTTTGTACCCTGTTGTGATGATGAAATTCTTACATTTGTATTTTGCAATAAAAGGTTGATGTATAGGAGAGCTGACATTCTCTTGTCCACGAAAGAACTGTGTCAAACCATGGACCTGTGTTAGGACCATGGTCAAATCCTGATGACATTTTGGCAAAGTGATCTTGTACGCCCATCAGGTTATTAGGAAAGTCCTTCGTTTTTTACGAGAATAAAGTTTTTAGGAAATTTGCTCAAGAATCTGGTAAACCTACTGAATTTGCCTACAAACGCAAAGTGTTTGAAGTTTTGTATTGATCTCCTACTTTTTTGTTTTGTCGTGATAAACGAATATGTGAGCCTATCATTTTTTGTATTTTCATATACATTTTCAGTCAGTATACGTGGACCTCCAAATTTGAAAAAAACACTATTTGACCCTGGAAATTACCAACTAAAATCAAACAAAATTGGCTAAATTTTCCCCTAAAGAGGAAATACAAAATTCGCAACACAGGAAGTGGGATTATTTCCAAAGGCTAGATGCGTTCATCATCGCGTGTTAAAAAAGGAAAGTGACAATGCTGATGGTGTATAGCCTAAAGGTATGAAATGTTGACGTCACAATTGATCACATGTGTGTCTCTCGTCTGTACTCTATAGTTTGCTTTTAATCAACCATTATAAAAAGTGGAACGTGAGGACCGTGACCGAGTTATAACTCAAACAATTGCACAACTCTCTTTTTTATTTTTACGAATTTATACGATGGAAAGCTTTTACATAGTTGGTCAAATGACAGAATCTCGAAAAGCTGCTTCAATATAAATGGACCATTGTATCATATTTTTAAAGTTGATTTAAAGGATTAAATGGAGAACAGTTTTGCACATACATTTAGATTTATTTACTAGCTATATCATAATTGTTACAAATATCAAAATAATATGAAACACGCACGACCAATATTTAGGGCTACCAAATACAAAATGATTAGCATTTTGCAACTCCTGTACTTGTTCTGGCTTGCAACCCCGGGTACTTGCTACAATTTGAAACATCTTAATTGGATTAATACTCCATGTATTCATATTATGAGAATTGTATTATTACCCTTTTCCTCAGTGTTTAAAAATGATATTTTCCAATAGTTTTGAGCAGGTATTTAGAGCCATCCATCATGCAGAGTGTATGGAGAGGTCCATTTTGGAGCATGCTGGGGTCATGGGGTCCAGGGGATAATGATTCTGTTAAGTCATGTTGTGTCACTGCTTTGTTATAATTGGCCCTGACTAGATTTATGAATCACTTTATTCCCTAAATCATGAAAGTGCATATACATGTTTTATTCGATGGAAAGTTTTCAAAAGAAATTTGTCTTTTCCTGTCGGATGTTAGGAATTTACATCATTGCATGCTTCGAAAGGTGAAGGAACGGGCCGGACATGCACCTTGCAAACAATTTCCACTAAGTTATCTTTACTTATTTTTAGTTGCCGTTTGTGAAAATTGGACCATAAACAAAATCAAGTAAACATTTACTTTCCAAAGTTTTCGTATGTTTCAATATATACTGTGAAAGTGAATTAGATTTGGCAACTTCTCTAAAAGGCAAACACTTATTTGTGGTGAGAATGCCGTAAACAAGTAAAGAAAACATGTAAAAACATCGTACATACAAATTATATATAGGCAAAAACAATGAATCACACTTCAGTGGCGTTGCGTAGGTCACTCTATAGCTGGGGCCCTGGTATAATGGGGGGGGGGGGGGCACAGAGCTTACTTGTTGAATGAAACAAGGTTGATGTTTTAGGGGAATGTGAAGAAGGGGTTTTATCATTTATGTTCAAGTTGAGTTTCACCCTCATTTCTTTCTTACTCTTTTTCTTACTTTAAAACAAAAATCTTTATCTTGTCTTTCGAGGGTTGAGGGAGGGGTGGGGGTATTCCCGTGCCTTCCTAGCTATGCCACTGTGCAACATGATTATTACACTTACCTTATAACTCTAAAAACGCCCTAGAATATAATTCTCAAAGATCATCATCACATTTGTTCAATGTAATACATGGATTCAAAACAGAGGAAGTACTTATTACTATATATCATATTTCATCATAGTTATATTCGATTTTAACAGTCTTATTCTATTTTCTTCTCAAAGGAGCGTTTTATATAACACTCGTTCTTTAGTATGTTTGTACGAGTAGGCCTATGGATATATTCGCATGTTTTTATATTCATTCTTCGGATTGTGAAAGTTCAATAATAAGAGTGTGTATATGACCACTTTCATTTTAATCGTGTGTTTGAAATAATTGACCTAAACTGAACAAAACAAAACAAAACAGAATTCACACTTTGTCATAAAAAGTGTATCCTTTCCCTATTTAACAAAGTGCAAATTCGCTTTAACTTATGAAGTATGCAGAATGCAACTGAACCACTCGAACAATATAATTCAAACTTACCGATTGTTCTTGGTTGTAATCTGTAATGTTTGTGTTGTATGTCCAAGATGCAGCTACATCTTTATAGTATTCCACCATGGCCTGTTCGTTGTATTCATCCAGGAACATGATAGCAGCTGTCTCATTGTTGTTTCCCATCACCGAAGGGGTGCTCATCGTCATCAACGTCGCCAGCGACACGGCCAACGATAGCCAGTTGGAACGTTTCATGGTCGTGGGGATTAATCGGAACAAACTACTTCAAGAAAAAGGTTCCTGGCGTTATTGGCAGATTAAAATTGTGAGAAGTTTACCAACTTGTATGTGTAGGGGTAAAGACTTTGGATTTGTGAGAACAACGGTTCTAAAGGTACTTAAAATTGGTATGTGTGAGCAGTCGATAACTGCATGAGACATACACTGTCCGCCTAGGTCTGGGTAGCGAATGAGCTGAAAACAGGTACTGTGAGTTTGTGTGACTGATTTGAGCAGCTTGCTTGTATGCATGCAGTCTCATTAGGGGGCGTATATCAGGCGCGCTTGGTAACGTCTCCTCGTTACCTCTTTATTCGCGATGCTTTGATTAACTATATTGAATGTTATCTTGGGGCTACAAAACAGACGTCTTATCAGAGGATAGCGTGATAAATGTGTATATTGGTGTAGCTAATTGATATCAAACTTATAACATTATTGTTCATGTGAGAAAGAAAAGGAGGCAGAAAGGATAAAGAGAGCAAGAGAGAGAGAGAGAGAGAGAGAGAGAGAGAGAAGATTCATGAGAAAAGAAAGGCGAAATCAAACCTCATAACATAGAAGGTTAGGACAAAAATAAATTAGACTCAAAGAGATTGTAATAAAGGGCAATCCAACCCTTATAATAAGTTGATTTGTATGACAGCAGAAAAATAACAGAATGGCAAAAGTTTGAAATGAATCGGACGAAATAGGAGATCACTAAGTCTATGCGAATCTCAAATTGGTAGTTTGGTCTGTGGATTGTGACGTAGAACGTGAATTACTCTCCTATTAGTACACAAATATCACTAATTTTTGTTTTTCTCATAAGTTCCTTCTTCCTTGAAGCACTAATCAGAATATATTATAAATTGTTTGAATTTTAATCATTTTATAAGTTGGAACAGATGGGAAAGAAGCCAGGCACTACATCAAATTGCCGCTTTAGCCAATTTGAAATGCCTATATGTGTATACAATAGTGATTATAACTTTCAAAAAATCATAACTTTCTTTTATTTAGTCAGATTTATTTGAAACTTTAAGTTTCATTAGTCTGCTGTTCTGATTGTTCTGCTTTCTTTTAGAATAGATGTCTGTTTGGGTTGGAGAGAGAAAAAGGGTAGGCCTACTAATTCAAAAAATGGACATTCAACATTATTTTAATTTACTTACCCGTTTTCATTGTCCACAACAATTGAATAGAATTGACTTTAATTTAATTAAATTGAATTTATTAACAACAACACATCACAATAATGACAGTACATATGAACAATCATACAATGCAAATAATAATACTGATACATGTATACATAAGAGTTGTGTTAATTGAACAGTAATGGTTTTAAAACGATATTTAGACATACATGTAGCTCTGCATACTATTGTACAAAAGATATACGTAAATATGTGTATTACTATATTTAGATGAAGTTGTTAATGGGAAATAAAAGTTAGCACAAGTGCTGTCGAGCCTAGTTCCATTCTTTGGCAAGATTTTTTGTTTTAAATTTGTTTATACATATTATAAATGTAAAACTTGTGTGTTTTGTATTTACAAACACTGTAGCTCATAAAGTTGGAATATTTTTGTTTTACCCCAATTTATGGAATTATTTTAAAAATAATTTAAAATAATAGATCTAGATAAAAGTATACATTCTCAGATTTTATTGAAAAATAATTTGCCGATGTGTGTTTTGCGTGACTGCTAAAGCAAGTGTGTGCTAATATGCTTATCAACACGGGGACCTATGCCCTCAAGTCATAAATGAGAGTAATGAGGATTAATGCCCCACAAAAAGACACCACAGTTACGAGGCAATTGCTTTGTCACTGAACCATGACTGTACGCAGCGGGGGCTAGGGTAGGGGCAGTTTCCATAAATACAAAAAAAATAACAGAAAATGCAATGATTTTTCAATAATTTATTGCATTTTACCCCGGTCCCTAACATTAAAAAAATCCTTTGGACTGCCATGCATTATGGCTCAAGGCATGGGCCACACAGAAGATTTTTTTATGTTGGGAACCGGGGTAAAATGCAATAAATCATTGCATTTTCTGTTTTTTTTTTAAAATTTATGGAAACTGCCCCCTACCTTAGCCCCCGCTGCGTACAGTCATGGTTCAGTGACAAAGCAATGGTCTCGTAACTGTGAGGCCCCAGGATCAAAACCGTGTCGATGTGCTATATTAGTGTACTTTTGTGGGGCATTAATCCTCATTACTGTCATTTATGACTTAAGGGCGTACGTCCCCTATTTGATAAGCATATTTGAATGCATATGCTTTAGCAGTCACGCAAAACACACATTGGCAAATTATTATTCAATAAAATCTGAGAATGAATACTATTATCTAGATCTATTATTTTTAAATTATTTTAAAGATAATTCCATAAATTGGGGTAAAACAAAAATATTCCACCTTTATGAGCGACAGTGTATATACAACAAAATAGTACAGTATCATGTAACTATTTTATATTTCTAAAATGAAAAAAGAAGGGGAAAATTTTAAGTGTCAAAGCATTATAATGAAAGAAAACAAATCTTTGAACAAATAACATCAATATCAACCATCAACAATTTCAAAATGTAAAGAAGAATACATGGTAAAATGATAATCAAGTATGAACACTTAGAGTTAGGATATTTTTCGAATATTGAACCTGAGAATGATATGCACCGTCGTTGTCCTATGCTATGGTGGTGAAGGTGGTCCATTGGGGAGGGGGGGGGGCTTGTAACAAGAACTTGATTATCCTGATGAAAAAAACCTACATTGGGAGCAAATGTAGAACGGGTAAAATGATCCGAATTTAAAAGCAAACATTTATAATTTTTACACTTCATCCTTGATTGAGGGCACAATCCTTTCCAGGTTCATTTTCCTCCCTGATTATTTATTTCCGTTTATGTTGTCTACATTTTTGTGCCGCTTCATCTGCATTCTGGTGCACATGCTTCAACCTGCCCCCCCCCCCAAAAAAAAAAATTAATTCATTGCATTCTGGGTCTGGGCCACTGACCTCTACCAGTGAGCTCGAGCTGAGCGCGACGTCGACCGACGCGAAGACTGAGAGGGCGGCATCACTCTTCCTGATTAACTCAGCAGCGAATGAATGGGCCAGAGGGGCACAAATTTTACCAATTTTGACGATCTGTATGAATGTTTGCAACGATTGTTATACATGAATGTCAAGTGATGATGGATACGCAACTTTTGTTAATGGCAGGTGTTGGACAGTTCGAACGTGACGATACTGGGGTAAGTTATAAATCCATTGATCTGAATAGCAAGATTTACCAATGGTCCCTTTGGTTGATAATCATGTCAGTAGATCGAACAGTAGCCGGCAAGCTCAAATGAAAATTCGGCAGTGCAGCTGCAGTTTCCTTAGCGTTAAAGGTGATAATCAATACGCATTAGCATTGACCACTATATGTTGTTAGTGTGTGGGTGATACTATGATATTGATATCACCTAGCCATAATTGGCGCCCATACCCCTGCGCGGCAACCGGCGAACCTTGCAAACTACTCGGCTATAGTAGAGTTTGCAAGCAGACTCTTTTTTCTAGAATCTACTTGTACAAAGCACTTTAGAATAAGAATTGGTCAAAAATTTAACCAAAACTTGAACATTTGATACCGGAGTGATATCAGCTTGCTAACCTTCCATGTGTTCCTGATGAGCTTAAACATGTGATTTACGTTACAAAAACGCTGACCTCTCACAAGAGTTTGCAATGTTGGTTTTGCTGACAATTCAAATACATGCAGTGTTCATTGAGAAAAGCTGTTTCTGTGTTGCCAATTTGATTCTAACCTAATAATAATAGCAATTAAATAGTGTTCTAAGGTTCACGCACAAAGTTTGTCAAGTTTAGCGAACTCCCTGCGCACACGCCTTTTTACCTTTTGGTTTGTGCAGGATTGAATCAACTTTTTGGAGGGAAAACTTTAAATTACGTTTGCCACTCTTCACCCAGATGTAAATCAGTATGGGTACCTGAAATTGCTTTGGTAATAATGATAGCTGGGCCTTTGGGTAGAAAAGCTTTGGTGCTGATGAGTCCTCCCTTGGTAAACAAAATTATTATTATTATCATCATTATTATTATTATTATTATTATTATTATTATTAACATAGGGTCTACATTATAACATACATATACCAGATATTGTTAGAGCTCAATATGTCATGGATTTTTTAAAACCATATATGGATTATATGGTATGTATATTTTCACTACAAAGAATAAATACCATCCCCTCCCCTACTTGCCATTTAATGAAATCTCACCATTTTTTTTTTCTATCAGGAAAATGAACTTGCAGAGGAGATTTGGACTGACCTTATAGACGAGATGACCCTTGGATTATGTTTTGATATTCATCGTTCTGTCAAGCTTGGCCTCATGATTATGGATGACATAACAGAAGAGGCTCAGCAGGTATGATGAGTGTAGCTTTGTAACTGATCAGTGAACCCATTGAATACAGGAACGGCGTGGATCCTGTATTAAGACTGGGAATGTTTGGACTGCATAATGATTGAAGGATTAATCAACATGATAGTGATACCAAAAAACTATACAGGCAAACACTGATACACACATATTTGTACTCAAGCTGTTCGCGCAGTGCATTAAATACAAGTATGAGTAGGAGCAATGAACAATCTACCTCTTGAAATCTACAAAAGACTACTACTGAAGAAGAAAAAACTCTGGTGGAAAACCAACCAAATACTTACTTTAAAATCGCTGTGAGAAGATCACACTACTTTTTTAACACCAAATCCTAAAAGAGCTCCAGACAACATAAAAGTATTTCTTAAACTGATTGGCAGTACTCTGATCTTTATGCCTTACTTAAACATTGTTATCTGTCTTTCATTAACAGGAATATGATATAGTGGATGAGCCTGGACTAGATGTGTTTGGTCAGCCACCTCTCAAAAAGCACCTGGAGTGTTTATGTCCTAGCTGTAATCGCAACCTGGCAGCCAATCGCTTTGCTCCACATCTGGAGAAGTGCATGGGTATGGGAAGAAACAGCAGCAGATTAGCCAGCAAGAGGTATTATACATGAATCTAATTTTGTGTACACAGATTTGTTTTCTCCCTACATTAGATGTAATATTTCAAACCTATTGGGCACTTAGCAATGATTCTCCACATGAGATGAACCATATCCGGATAACTACCCCCCGGACAACTACCTAGGACAACTGCCCCTTAGGACAACTACCCCCTGGACAACTTCCCCCCAGACAACTACCCCCTAGGATAGTTGTCCGGGGGGTAGTTCTCCCAGGGGGTAGTTATACGGGGGCTGGATGTCCAGGGGGTAGGTGTTCTAGAACCGAGATGAACAGGCATTAGGCTTAAACCCAAATTCAGACACCGAATTGATAAACTCAAAATAACTGAAAGCCTTGGGTGCTAACTTTTGTCATTTATCATTTGTGCTTCTTACAACTATCCTTTGTTTCTTGTTAATCAATTTTAAAAACAGGAGGGGAAAAAAGTATAACAGTTATACTTCTTGCTCCTTTTAATAAGATACAGGAAATGAATAATATATTGAGCAGAAATCATTATGCTAGTAGTATTTTTTTAATTAGTATTCTTGCATTCATTAATATAAGTTATTCGGCTTTCATTATGTAATCTACTTTAGCATTTCATTATGTAATATGAATTGTAGCTTAAAATATAAGTGCCATCATGCCTTTTCTCCCTCTGTAATGCAGGATAGCTATAGCCAACACTACCAAAATAGACAGTGATGATGATGATGACAGAGATTTAGACTGGACAATGGCTTTGAAAGGTGAATGATATGTTACATAGGTGGTACAATGCTATTTACCACACAACACGTGTATGACTCATTCCTTTCCATAAGCTTTCATCAGCAGTTTTGCTTAAAGGTTTTTATGAAGGGTCTGTTACCCTGATATTTAACTAGATATTGATAATTTTCTTAATTTAAAATTGCTTTTCTTTGAAATACTTATTTTAAGGATAATGTTCTGCATGATAAGGTTGAATTGGACTTATGCTATACTTGTTTTAAAGTACCGAAGGATGACATCATACTGGCCAAGTTGTCAAGGTTGCTGCTTCCAAACAATTTTGTGCTAAATAATGATGTGGCCATCACACCACAACCACTGATCCAACTTGTTGCTTGAATGATTTTGCAGTGAACCTCATGGACAGGCTCTGTTGTTTGGAACCAGTAACCTGGACAACGAGCTACTATGACGTTAGCACTCCGGTAATCTATAGGCTTTTGAATGAAAATGAAAATGGAAAAGTAGAATATTCAGCAGTATTATCCTTATAAGACCATCCTGAAATTGATCAATACCGATGTAGATTTGTTTGAATTTATTTTCCTTTCTTTTTCCTGTCACAGGTCCTAAAAGATCAAGAAAAGAAAAACTCAGTACCAATTCCCCAAGAAGAAGCAAATCAAAGCTGAAAAATGGTAAGCATCTTTAAATTTCATGTTTATCAACATGCTAATCTATGATAATAAGAGCCTTGTTGTCAACATTATGAATATGCAAATTTCTTGTTGAATTTTCATGTTTTCTGGGCAGTCAGCAGTTTCTGGGCAGTCAGCAGTAATTTAATATTGATTTTCTTTGAATTTTTTTTAAAAAAGTACAATGTTCTGCATTATGGAGTAAAATGGAGGAAAATTACACTAATGTCAAGTTCATCAGTTGTCTGGCATTGTTTTAATGATTTCTAAACTTAACACCTAACACGACAGATGTAATGTAACCATGATAATAAAAAAAAATTGGCTTTGGTGTACAGAAGGGTTAAATGGTTCTGAAGAGTTATTGTCCAGATTTTTTTCAAGAAGTTGAAAAAAAAGGCGGAAGAAAAAAAATCATATTGTGATAGAGTATTCTTCCATTTTCTAGAAAATTTGCATCTCTCAGTTGGCATTTTGCCACCCCCCCCCTTTTTTTTGTCCTTCATTTTTTCTTTTTCATTTCATCATTCAGATGTGGGTGATATACCCAGTGTTAGTAGCAACATGGAGAACAGCATGGCAACTTTTAAGGTAAATGATTCTCATTTCTATGAGCAGAATGGATGTAGTTTCAAGTATAAGATGTCTTGAACTAATACTCATTGCAGAGTAAGAGAACCTACCTTTCACTGTCACTAATTGTCTTTGGGAGCCAGGTAGTTCCTCCAGAGGAATGAGAGGTTTCAGAAGAAAACATTTTAACAAGATCAAATGAATGTTATACTTGGGGCAGTGATTTATTGTAATGACTGGAGTTAGGGAGTTAGGGAGTGGGGGGGGGGGGGGGGGGGGGGGTTGCAACTTGCCAGTAAGCTAAGTGACCAAGCGTGGAAGGATTTAGGAGGGTACACCCCCTTCCTGTTCCTCCCCTGATTAAGGTTGTTTGTGTGTGTATTCTAGCATTGCCCTTTATATATATCATTCATCATATGATATTCCATGCCACTTTAACATATACATGTAAAGGGTGCTGTGACTTCGTTGATATTTGTTTTTGCAGGCCTTGGGAAATAGTGTTCCAGTCTTTGAAACTCTGTCGCTGGAAGAAAGGAAAAACATCTTAATGACAACATGTGGTGTCATATCAGAACACACCAAGAAAATGTGCACCAAGTAAGTAGCACTGCATGTACCCTTGGTCATTTAAATTATTATTAAGATGGAAAAAATACACCTTCTTGTCGCCTACTCCTATCTCTTGTATGTGTACATTTCTTGAATATTGTATTGTTACAATATATATCTGTTGATTAATACAGAGATTAATTAATAATAAGTGCTTGTGAAGAAAGAAAGTCATAATTTTGCCGTAAAAAACTGTGCATACTTGTACCATAAAGAATACAGAGATCACGCAACTTTTAGTATGATGTACAGACCATAACAGGATACAATAATTCACTGCATTCATTTAGCAGGTAACCATCACCCACTTAATCATATTATTACATTTTGAGTATTTTCGAGGAACACGCTATCTGATCTACCAAGCATTTTGTTGATTACCATTGATGGTACTTGACGCAGATGTTAACAAAATAAATGTAAATGGCGACAGAGAAGAGATAAAAGAATCTTGCATAATTTATGAAAATGTTTGAAAATATCATGCGTTCCTTGATAACTCAAAAAGTGTTGTGATGAACTACTGCTCTTTTTCCTCTCTTGTATCAATATGTTTGAGTATGTATGTATGTACCTCTCCATGTAGCAGTTGACATATATGTGTTTTGACTTGCTTCTCCTAGATCTCTTAGATGCCCCCAGCACACAGACGAGATGAGGCAAGGAGTGAGGAGATACCTGCTAGGCCTTGAGACGGAGGAGAGACTAAGACACAAAGGAGATGGGTAAGTTTATTAAGAAAACCTTTCCCCATTTCTCTCTCTCTCTCTCTCTCTTTCTCTCTCTCTCTCTCTCTCTCTTTCTCTCTTCCACTTCTCTCTATTTCTTCCTCTCTTTTTTATTATTTTAATTTCTCTCTCTTTTTGTTTCTCTTGTCTCTCTTTCTCATGTTTTTGTTGTTGAAATGTCTGTGATGATAAGATTAAATATTGTACATTCTCAAGACAAAGATCTTTGAAAGTGAAAATAGGTTATGAGATAAAGTATCAACTGATATATATATAGGGAGAGAGAGAGAGAGAGAGAGAGGGAGAGAGAGAGAGAGAGAGAGAGAGGGAGAGAGAGAGAGCAACACGTGATCAATGATTCAAATGAATTTAATCAAGATTGGATGAAAGCTGTCCATACAAGTTATGAACTTCACAACCTTTTCTTGAAAGGAGTTCATTGGGGTCATTGCCTTTCATACCAAAACTATACTTTACACAGGATATACCAAGATAGTAGATTACGCAGGACATACCAAGATTGAAATATACACCGGAATTCAAAAATTAGTTAGCACGAAGGTTAAAACAAATTGGTTAGATGATATCATTATGTTCCTTTTCTGCTGTCAGTTTAAGAGTATCACCCTTTTAAAATGTTATCTTCATGTCTGTTTTCTGTTTACTTCTCTCCATCTTTTCCCCATCTCTAATCTTTTATCCTTTATCTGTCTCTACCTCCCCCCTAAAAAAGTAAAATATCGTTTTAAGAAGCAATATAACTTTCTACTCACACTCTACTTTCCTCTTCCTTCACCAAAGTGTTCTTGAGACAGAAGAGATTGACATAGATACGTATGAAGATGGAGACAGTCAGGCTCTAAGGGAGCGTCTCAATAGAATACAGCAATGGGATGCAATCAGTAATCCATCACCGGCTGAGTCAACTTCAACAACAAGTAAGTACAATCCTCCATGTATCATTGCTGGCCTACTCCTGTGACAAGGTTACAATTAGGTTTTAGGTTAGCTTTCAGGTTACAGGTATGCTGTTGGGTCGAGGGTTGAAGTTAGAAATTTGGTTAGTATTGGAAAATAAAAAGGAGCAATTGTTCGCCAGAGCAAGTGTTATACAACCCCTGTTTTTTTATGGCACACTGTGTTTGATAGAATGAGAATTAAAATAAAAATTATATCCAGAGAGCATTCAAATGCAAAAAGCTTTATATTGTAAACATTTAAGAATTCCAATTCATCAATGTTCAAGCACGTTTATGACATACTTAGAAATGAAATGGCTATTCCTCGAATCTGTTTTGGCATCACAGGTTATAGATTGTTATAGCCTGTTTATAGCATGCTAAATGATTTGTGTTTATCAGATTAACTTTACCAAGAGTAGATTTTTTTTTTCTTCATTTTTAAAAATAAATTCTGTAATGTATTGATTTTACTGTATTGTGTATACTCTGGAAACTAGGGCTTTTTAGCTTTAAAGAGTTAGTGTTTTTCTTTAATCAAATATGTGTATTTATTGTACACTGTATATGTCTTTGTTTATCGTTTTTTATGTTTGAGAAAAAAATAGAATACATCGAACCAACCATTGAACCACTGAACATATTTTTTTCTACAAATCACCAGACTCTAATGAAGGCCAGGGTAACAAGAAACGGAAGAAAGGAGGTAAACTTACCCATCGCAAGAGAACTAAAGGGCGCCCTCATTCAGCTCAGTCGCAAACTAGTACAGGTTCAACAGCAGCAGCAGCAGCTGCATTACAGTATGAGGTCATTGATTGATCATGCTTTAAGGTATGGCAGCTGATATGAGGGGTTTCCCCTAGCGGAGAAGTGATGTCATTGGAAGAGGGATTTCCCCCTGCTCTTCATTCCTTCCATGCTGAGATGCAGAGAGCTCCCAGGTGACGAGGAGGGATGAAATATCTCCCATCGCCGGAGAACAGAGATGGAGCAGTGAGATTGAATGTTAATTGATGCAGTTGTATGATTACAATTCAGTGCCTGTTTTTTAAGTTTGCAGAAATGAGTTATGTTTTGGTCGAAAACCAAGGATATTAAAAGTATCTCCAGGTGAGTATACAAGGATGGGAGTCAAAGATTGTGGTTTCTCTAAGATTAAAATCTCCTCAGGCATAAAGATGTATGTCTTCAGCTTAGATTAAGGTGAAAGCAAGCGCATGAGAATGCTTGATCAGCTCTATGGCTGAACATTTCCATGTATGATTTCTGACAAAATGAAGGAATGCAAAAATGAAAAGAGAGAGTATACAAGAAGCAAAGACAAATTTGTGCTACATTGATTATATTATTGAGTATGATTATATGATTTTAAGGTGCATGAAGGCATTAACTCTTCCTCTTATTTTTAAATAAGCATAATTTCAGACAGATTTAAGATAAACATGCAGCATTATTGACTTAGAAGCAGTACATGTATCTCTGAAATAGCTGTGAATGGCTGTGTCATTGCAATTGATATGGCTTGATATCATACCACATCGATTGACTCGTTGCCTACGGGAACCACATTGTCCTTGCATAAAGCATATGGGAATGTGATGGGAATTCAGTGTTCAACGGGTTAAATAGAATTCTTTCCCGCATAATGGCCTGTAATTCATACAATGGCCGTTACCTATCTGTTTTATTTTCCAACTCCTCGTAACTAATTCCCATTCAGCAATTCCATTCTAAACATGATGGTCCACCTCGTGTATGAATACTTGTTGTGATGGTTAGATGTACCTGTGTACTGTAACTATAATCAGAAGCATGTTAACATTCTGGTAAAATGAGTTATAATTGGATTTAATCTCTTTCTTGATACTAAAGGAGGTAGCAGAGACATACATATATAATTTCAGTTCATCTCTGCTCCAAGACAATGTACCATTATTTGTGAATAATAGCATCATAGCATCTTTTTAAAATCAAGACCACTAAAGGGAAGCCAAGACTCGACTTGTGGTCTTTAAGGGCAAGTGGTAATTCTGTACAAATGTTCAATTAAGCAAGTTTGACGGAACATGCATATATGAGGTAGATGAGGTATTTTTAGTTTTACCTATCCAAAGTTTGCCCTCCGATTATCTATCACTTCCAATCATTTCCAATCGTCAGCATAATTGAATACACAAACTTGGGGTGGAGTGTATACAAAATGCCAGTTGTATAGTACCAAAACCATATTGCATCCAATATGATAATGGAAGTGCTGAAGAATATTTCATTTTACCTTAATGAAGGTCTTCTTCTAATTATCATCTGTTTCTAATCGACCTCCCTTCTTCAACACATTTTACTGCCAGCTCCTAATGGCTGTTAACATGCTCATCATGTCATATCAGCAAGGACATGTATTTGGTTGAAAACAAAACAAAAACCCTGTCTAAATTATTGACAGTATGAGTGGTATGTGTGACAACATCAAGCTATGAATTGACAGACTAATTAATCAAATAGCCCATGTGCGCTGTGAGTGAACACATGGCTAGTAGTGCATGCACTGTACCTGCTAACCAATCATACCATATGGCCATCTCCGATAGTATGGAGTCATTTTCAAGGACGATCTGAATGTCATTAGTTGATCAAATCAACATAAACTCCATCTCTATAGGGGAAAAAATAAAATATCTTCCCTCATGCAGTAGGCATTGATATTTGTATATCATTGCACAATGCTTCATTAACAGTAGCTGTTGGCAACTGATTTTGGTTACTTTGTACATCATTAAATGACATGTATTAACATTATAGGGCTATGATGGAAATGTAAATGCAGAATGTTGAGGACAAGATAACCAAAAACAAAAGTGGATGGATTAAACTGTTTTTAGTTTTTTTAATTTGAGGGGTAATTCTGGCAAGTCAAGTGTCTCTTTTTTTATTTTTATCTTTTAACATTACAGTAAATTTAGTATGCTCGAATTTTTTAAACATGAAACCGATGTGTGCGGCACGATTCAACCGCTTTGTTTTTACTTTGAAATGTTAGTGATATCTACAACCCATAGTTTCATGTGAAGAAAAAAATGTCTGGCATGATTTAAAATTCAAAGTGAGAGCTTGACCAATGGCTTTCATTTCCAATGGTCATTTATTTTTGAAGGGTTCGATATAGTTCTTGCAAGTCCAGAAGTCATTGCATTATGATGAAACCATTATTAAGTTTTGTACAACATGTTCTGTGCCTGTTTTCAGTACTGTTATATGACAATAAACTTGCATGATGTAATGTGACCAAGAAAAGAGGGAGGGGAGGGGGTGTTGTTCAGACTTCCCATTTAATGCAGGCAATGAAGTCATTATTCACTTTGTGAATTATTGATAGAAGTTCAATGAGATATTTAACCAAGTCAGCATTGGAATACAATCAATATAAACCAGCTTAAATGTAACCACAATCTTGTCTAGATCACTTCTACTCTTCAATGTAAAAATATTCTTTCTCATTATTTAGCTGGCAGTTTACATGTGGCATGCAATGCTGTTAGTGCAAATAAACAAAATAATTTTGTTGACATATGCATGTACACCATATGGTACTGCTGAATTCTGTCTTTCTGCCTCATAGACTAAATACAGGAACTACGCATTTACCATTGAAAATGGGTAGACGTTGTGTAAATGTAGTACAGAAACCTCACTATCTGCCACACAGGTTCTAATACGGACATATTACAAAACATGATTGTGGTGGTTTTGAATCTGACATACATACTGATTGTAATTGATTGTAATATGTCAGGAAATGGTTATGATAGTAATGATGATCATGATGAATCCACCCACAATAATATGGATAACATCTATGACAATGATTATATATGATAAATTGGAGCACTACTGATTTTTTCCTTGATTAACTCTTATAGATGCTACTGTTGATTTATTTCTTCATAATTTAAGTTGCTATTTAAAACAAATGAAAAGGATATTGAATATAATGCATAAATTGATGATCAGATGAAATTGAGGGTTCAGTGACACAAAGACGTAACTCTATATTTTGCCAAAATGAGTATTTGATATCAAAATGTCCAGAAAAATGTGGGCTTTCCAGGAAACACAAGGACTAAACTCCACCCAACACCCCACTGAAGTCAATGGCTATTAAAACATAGAATTTAACTCCTTAAGGCCCAAGTGCTCAGTGACCACTTTTTCTCAAAATGGAGTTACGTCTTTGTGTCACTGACCCTCGGAAATGTTTGTTATGCTCAATCTTGCAAATTGCTGAATATGAAGATACCATAACTGTTGAAAGTGGTTAAATTTTACAAGTGTACTACTGTGGAAGGCATATTTCTCTCCTCTGATTTAACCATTTCATATTGGTATATATGAGTTGGGTTATGTTATTATTGAAAAGAAAACCAAAGACTAAACATTCCAGCCTGTTGAAGTTGATTTTATTTTAGATATACTTGAATGTAATGTGGAAAAGTATTGGATGAAGCTCCCATTCATGTGTTAAGATGTGAGTTGGTTATGGACAGAACAGAATTATCAAAAATTGAGATAGATATGCAAGTATTGAAACGCATTTACGAAATGGAGAAGGAGAAACGTGACTGTAAAGAGAGGGACAGAGAGTCAGACAGAGGGAGGAATTGAGACAGACAGAAACAGAATTTGTGTGCATTACCCCTATACTAAAAGAGGAGCAGACAGAGCATTGGCCGGATCCATGCTTCACCACCGAATGTGCTCATATTTTGTAGAGAAATAAATGAAAACAAAAATGAAATACACAGCAATAATGGGTAACAGAGGGAAATGAACCTCCAGTATACTTGATCATACTGTTCCGATTTGTATCACTTTGTAGAGAGAGAGAGAGAGAGAGAGAGAGAGAGAGAGAGAGACATAGAGAGAGGCGGACAGTGATAGAGAGGACAAAAGCAAAGTATGAGGGCGATTAATGTAATTTATAATTTTTTTCTACATCAAATTTATGAATTGCCTGACGGTCAAATGATGTGATCCATCATACACCTGTAACATTACTAAGGCCTTCCTGAAGCATTCGTTAAAGTGTAAATGGACTAATGGCAAGTGGCGATTTACCTTGATTTACCCAGCTGAGCCTGCGCTATAAGTGGCAGCGTGACCTTCAATTTCAAGACGTCTGGCGACAATACACACTCCAGTGACGTAGCGTTGGTCAAGCCATTGGTCAAACCATGGGGAAGAGGGGGGGGGGGGGGATTGGCATTACTCAAAGAATGAAATGTACATTCACAAAGTAACCGAATCGGGGAAGGTTCGGGAGGGGGTCCGATAGTCTTCAGTTTCTTCCTTTACCCCTTTCTTTATTTTCTCTCCCTCTCTTTCTCTTTCTCTCTATCTCTTTCTTTTTTGGTCGCCATTTGATTTCCCGTACCCTCTAGCTGTATCGCTGATTCAGACGGTGCCTTCATGTCTCTACGTATTCGCAAGAAGGCTGTCTCAGGAAGATGTAGAACTCGTTTATAGATACTCCCGCATTCTACCAACCATGAGCATATTGACATGTCTAGACAAACGTCTACATTACTGTATAATCATCTGCGTATGAGTGATCTTCTTACATGGCTAGATTGAGTGGTACATACTCATCACGGTGATCAAACATTATTTTCCCGCCACATTTGCCCTGGGTTTTATTTCACCCTAAGGTATAGACTTATGGTTTAGATGATTTAGTGCTAGGCATGGTGTTACGCCCAGAGTTAACTTTAGGAATTTTATAGTTTTAGAAATTGACCGCGGAGAAATTGTCGCCGGAAAATTGTTCCAGGAAATGTGTATCCTTCTACAACAAGAGGCTTGTAAAGTGAAGATTGTTTGTTTGTTTTTGTAAATTTGAGTGGAGTTCTGAAGTGCCCTTATTGAGAGAACTGAAACTTGTCTTACTGTTTTAGGATACAATACATTTTTATTTAGAAATAAATACAGTCCGTCTCAGGAAATATTGCTTTTACGTGATCCAATAATATAGCGTGTGAAATGAACACGTACCGTTGTCGGGCGTTGATACGAATTGAAGCATACAACATTGAATCGACAATAAGGGGAAATGTGTTATAAAAAGTCTGCGGTGATAGGAAGTTAAGTTGATGTAGCCATAACAGTAAAATAAAGTAAAGCTAGTTCATGCAAAAGACGGAAATTACCTTATTGCTGGAATAAATTACGATTGATTACTGTAAACTCGGGAAAACCCCTTTGCTAAGGTAACATGTACTTTAACTCGTATACAATATTCTGCCAAGCAAGCATGTTCTTTCTCGCTTGGATTTAATTACTTGCCGTCAGAGCATGCACACAAATGAAAATGTACTACACATGAATTAAAAAAAACTTTTGAATTTAGAAGCTCTTAATTTGATGCCATAATGTGTAACAAATTCATGAATCAATGTTTTGAAACGTCGTGTGAAAAGCTAATATAGAGGTCTATGATATTACCCGGCAACTCCAGTTCTCAGTATGTTAATAGTGATTTTATTTGACGATTGTCCCTACATCCAAGCAGACCAGAGGCAATGTGCATGATTATATATATACATGAACTAATACACAAGTATTGCTAATACTTGCAGGAGGAGGGGCGCCTGCAATAGGATGGGGTAGTTGTCACTTTTTATTCATGTTTTTTGTTGATTGTTATTATCATTTTTATTATCATTATTGTTATTAGATATTATTATCATTATTATTGTGTTGTTATCTTTTAAGTTAGAATTGTTAAAATCATATTCGTTTTTTTTTCTTTCCTTCTTCTTGTTTGAAAACAAATCTTCTGGGATTATATCATGCTAAAATGCGACTTTCCTCTTTATTATTTAACTGATTATGTAGTATCCAGCAAATATCAAGAGTGTAACTTATTGCGTGGTAGGTTATGAGTTAACATTTAGCCTTCTGACCAACTAAGCCAGAGAATCTTTAGGGAATGGGAAAGCCACATTCCACCTTTTAAACATAATATTTAAAAATATTCCTGTAATCTATGAAAGTTATTTGTTCTCCAAAAAATTGGATGACTTAAGAACGACCTTCTTTGTCCACGCTCAACCGATCCCCCATTCAAATTGTGCTAACGATCCTAATGTGACTGAATCCTTATATTCATGATTGCGTTGTGAGAACAGGTCGAGGTGTCACACACACGCGTCACAACACACCAGTTAATTCAATTTTATCTCTCACATCGTACAAGGTTCACCATCATGTGCTGCCAACATGCTTTATAAGATATGTGGAAACTCTATCATGTTGTTTTTGGTTGATAACGCTTTATTCTTCGGAGTATTATTAGTTGGAAAAAATGTTTATTATTAGCATCAGTGAGGTGAGAGGAAAGAAACCGGAATGTTTTGCGGTAACCCATATTTTTTCCATCCAAATTAGGTTCGTGTTTCAGTTTAAAGTAGTTAACATTTTTTAGAAATGTCCACGAAGATTATTTTCTTGCACCGTTTGCATCGTGGGTTATAGTTCCATATCTGTGTGGTTGATCAACTATCTCAAGGGGTGATCATTACACGCCTTTTCATGCTTTTCATACAATCGAAACAGTTGTTTTTAACCCTTAGTCGGACTCTTAGTAATGTAACTGATACAAGTTTAATTTCATCTGCGAATATTCGATGCTAATTTTAACGTGAATCGCGGTTTCGGGTTTTATCATTTTCCTGTTCATGTATATGTGGTTGTTCCGCCGCCTCGGTTCATTTGTTTTCTTTGATATAAAACTGATATAAAACCACTTGAACATATCCGCGAGTATTCAATGCTATATTTAACATGTTTAATGTCGGTTATTTCAGCATCCACGGGGTGATCATATTGTCGCCTCTTCATAAGCCGAAAAGGTGTTTGGTCTATAGTTTTTTTGTTTTGTGTGACTGATGCAACTTCTTCACGCAATAACCGCGAATATTCTTAAATGTAAATCAAGGCTATGACACGTGGTTGTTTCGCCGTCCTCCGGGGCGACCATAATTATTCTTCGCAAGTTTGTCAAAGCTGTTTTAGTTCATCTTTTTTTGTGTGTATTACTGATGCAACTTTAATTCAAAATTCTTCGAATATTCTTGATTACCTTAAATACAAATCGTGGTTCTTCTCTTTCTCTGTAGATGTGGTTTTTCAACCACTCAAAGGGGTAATACATTTATTCAGCTCTACATAAACCGTATTTAGGATTGATGCAACTTGCCATTGCGATAACCGCGAATAATTGACACTACCTTAAAGAGAAAGTTGAGTTCTGGGAAGAGGTGAAAAATAACTTGTGAGCGTTATCATTCTTATTATGCAAGTGTGGAAGAACATCAGATAAGACAATGTTCCCTGAAAAGCATGGCTCTTCAAATGCCTTCATATTCTAAATATGTCATGTACATCGTAAAACTCGGGGGTAGGTTTTTTACGCCACGTGTTCGTATAGTCCCATATACATCTTTCTGTGTACAGTGTTTGTAACTTTACCAAGACTTGGCCAATTTCTTATCATTTTGATGATTCCAGAACCTTGCAATACACATAAATTCTTATATGCTAGATGATCAACCTTCTCTGATCGATTCCACACCGTTTCCTTCACAATGAAATCGCATGACCAGAACTCAACTTCATCTTTAAATGTAAATCGGGTTTATATTTTCTGTCTATATCTCGTTATTCAACCGTACTTTGGGTGATCATATTGATACCTCCTATATATTATATATGTATATATATATATATATATATATATATATATATATATATATATATATATATATATATATATATATATATATATATAAATGATGAGAATTCCATTTACAATAATCGCTGATATTTGCTACTACCCTTAAAGTAAATTGGGGTTATGGCTTCTTTCTATATGCGGTTATTGCTAGCATCCTTAGGGCTATCATATTCTTCGCCTCTTCATATAACCGACGTCTCCGAGAAAGGGTACTTGTCCATGTCTCATATTTCTCCTATTTGTTCACGAATTTTAGGATGTTTATGAGATGTACTAAAGTGGGGGAAATGAAAGAAGGAGGAGGAGGAGAGAGAGAGAGAGAGGAGAGGGAGAGGACTGACGAATAGAAGTGGATATTAATAATGAGACACGGATGAGGAATGCATGTAGACAGGCCGCATGCCTCATGAGTAGTATATCGTGCAGATCTAATGAACATGATGTTTTGATGAAATCTCGTCCTGGTATCACCCGGAGTATAGAGGACCGTGTAATTAGGCAAAGCGAATTTTACTCACGTCACACTGCTACCCCAGACGTGACTTTTTGAATCAATGTTGCCGCCATTTTAAGTCATCTATGCATCATGGCAAGACGTCACGTTGCATACCTGAGGCAAAGCAAAGAAGGGCCTCTTGTTATTT